TCAATCTTAAAATCGTAAAAACAAATATCTTTTAATACTAACAAACCAATTATATATTGTAAAGGTTTCGACTTCTCAACACGTTCTCTAATTAACTCGTTTAACAGGATCCTTTCATTCTCATTAAAGCTTTTTATTATTGTTTTTAATGATAAGTTTTTGATTCTATTCTCATAAGAACTTTTTTTCTGTTTTTCTGCAAAGTATTTTTTATTATCTTTACTTTTCTTCAAAACGTAAAGGGCAAGCCACTTGAGTTCCTGTTGTGCCTGTGACAAATTCAGACATTTTGGTAAAAGTTGAAGAAAGTATTGATGCATTCTTCGATTTTGATGCGCAATAACTTTTTTTTTTTATGTAGTTCACCAGACTGCCGTATTACGTAATTAATTGCTTCCTTGATAGTTTCGGTCATAGCGTCGTAAGTAGATGCAAATGTTTGGAAAAGTGTTTTTATATACAATATTCTTACCAAATTTTCTTTAGGGTTAAGGCATTACTTCTCGTTTTTCTGGTGATGGTTTAAGTGTCTCAGAAATTCGAGGTACCACTTAACCTAATACATTGTCAATAATATTTACTTTATATAAAATAATGTTTTTAAAAGTCTAGCATCAAGATTTTCAAACTGGTTGCAGATATCTTGCCTTTGAAAAACTGTTAGAAGCAAAATAATTATAGTGTCAGTGTTTGTTAATGGTACAGCACATATTATTGTTTTTTAATAAATAAAAAATCTTCATTTATTTTATTTACATATAATTTTTTTATAATATGAAATATAATCAAGCATACTTCCTGTTATTGATTCTAAACATTTGGAAAAATTATTATATTTAAATTTTTCTATTTTTTATTTTTATTAAAATCATCTAAATATTTTTTATAGGTTTGATACAATTCAAATCATATTATTTATATTTACAGTGTAGTGCAAAAAATTTTGGAATTTTTTATTTATTCATTACTCAAAAACTACTGCATAGAAATTATATAAAAATAAAGCTAAAAACCTAGAGATTTTATTAATATATAATTAATAATTAATTCTTTCACCATTATTTTCAATTATT